CAGCTTAGAGCAGAGTTTCCCAACATATGGGACCTAAATATGGGTCGCCATGACATTTCAAGAGGGTCGCCAAGTGTCTCCCCAAGTGGCTCTGCCCTCCCTCCTCCCCCTATTTTTGAATTGCCTTGGGTCACCAAGTCTTCCTGAATTGTCAAAATGGGTCCCCATCTGGAAAAGGCTGGGAACTACTGGCTTCATGGGTATTTCCTATCGTATTTCTTACGACATTTTCCAGATGAGTTTGAGTTTGTTTCTTCACCAAGATGAAAAACAATTCTGTTGACCATGAGCTCTTCAGGCAGGGACTGTATGTCTGCCTTTGTTTCAAGCACTTAATACACTGTAAACCGCAATAAAAATTAGCTGCACAGTATATATTCTTTTGGCCTGGTGATTGCCTAGAGTGTGATCCCTGGGTAACCAGATCCTCCTTTTACTCACTTAGGCCTGATCTATACTCCGTGGGAAGGTCTAAGTAAGATATGCAACTCCAGCTATGTAAATTACATAGTTGGAGTCGAGGTATCTTACACTGTGTTTCCCTGCAGTCCACACAGCAGGAGGTTGACAGGGGCAGGAGTACTGGTGCTAAATTGAACCCCAGAAGATTGACCATGACAATATGTGCCCTTATTGTCTAGGCTCAAGAGGGTCTTAACAATATTTTTACAGTAACAAGCTCTGTTTATTTAATGTATATTGCACAATGATGACAACAGATGCAGTAATGGATACCTATTCCCTTGAATGTTTGGAGCTGGAGCCAAACCTTCCAAGTTCTTGGCTTAGCCCCTTCTCTGGGACTGCATCCTTTTGTTTATTAAGGACAATAACTAGTGGGGTTTCCATATAAATCATCCATGAATGCATCACTAGGGGATATTGTGCTTTAATCAGGTTGGGATGGGGCAGTTTTCGTTTTCATAAGGCCATGCTGAGCCTGGCAGGAGAGTGTGAGTTGCTAAGAAGCTTAGACTTACCCCCACCTGGGGCTTGCACAGTGCCAGCATTGCACTGCTGGGAGCTGGCATTACCAAGGGAGTAAACTGGAAACACATAATAAACAATTACTTTAATTAGAGCAGCTTTCCTAAAGCTAGAACATCAAAGCAGAACTTTTCATTCACCTGCAATTAACTGCCAACACAAATACAGATTTAATCTACCAGGTGAGTGCTACTTTGTGCTTATGTCAACCAGGTTATGTTGAAATCTGATGTCTTTTCCCTGTGGCAGATATTGTATCAGTGTTGGGCTGTTACCTAATTCTTTAAACCTTGTCTACAATAACTATAGGCCGATTGTTTCTCTGTCTTCTAAAATTTGTATGCTTCATTTCATATGGTATTTATCTTCTAAAATGTGTAACCATAATGATGTGATACAATGGTAGCCCTTGTGTTTAATAAAATGGTCTGATTTTATGTAGAAAAGATCATCTCTGTATCTGCAAGGTTCCTTTTGTACTTGCCAATACTAACTACAAGAAACACCAAATGCTTTGAATTCTATTATTTAACTGTTAGTACCAGACTAGTTACCTAAAACAACTAACGTATTTTAAAGGGCTACTGATATACCACATGGTCACCCTTGTCTCTTCTTCCATTTAATCCTGACCTTGTCCATTGCTATCACTCATGATGTAACATCTAACCTTGGAGAGCAAATATTTTGGGGGTAGGGACCATGTATGTCTGTGAAAACAATGTGTCCTAAGAAGATATAATCATAGGTGGGGAATGAAAAATAGAAAGCAAGGAAGAAGCAAGTGGAGCGATGCTGAATAGTTACTTTATATCAGTCTTTCCTAATAGGAGTAGAGTGAGGAGCTGATCACACCATGGTACAGATATCTAACTTTTGGATTTTTAGTGAAGAGTTGCCATGACTACACCCAAAGTGTAGTAAATACCCTTTTAAAACCTGCCTAACAAGACAGTATCAGCAGGCCCTTAAAGCTAAGTTTTACTTTGCTTCTACAGAAGTCTCATATTACTCTGGGAGATTGTGCATTAAGTCCTCCCTAGAAGGGTTTAAATTCAAGTGACCCTTCATATACTGCACACTAACTGGCCTGTGTCCACCCTGCTGGCATGCACTAAATGGTCCCTGGGAAGTGTTAATGTAGCCCTGTTTCAAACAGTACCACAGTAACACAATAGGGAACTTTTATTGCTAACCTCTGTGTCATGCAGCAATTATCACCAAACCCACAGGTTTGATCTGCTGCATTCCACAGGTAATAATTCCTCTCCCTCCTCCACTATTTAGCCAGAGGAGAGGGAGGAGGTAGCAGATGCTGTTACTGTCCTCAGCAAAGGAGAACAGTCAGTCCAGCTGTAGATTCCTATTAGAAGAGTGAAGTCAGAGGCAGCTAGGTATTGCTAACTATTGTGTGGGGGAGTGAAAAGTTCTCCAAATGGGAGGAGAAAGGAAAGTAGCCGGGCAAGATCTGAAAGCCAGGTTACAGCATCCCAATGCATACCAATTGTACATACAGACCTCACATAATGTTTGTAAGACATATACACAATGAGATAAAGGCAGAAACTGGCACAAATTAATTGTAGTCCTGTGACTCACTTCAGATAGTAGCGCTGTGTTCTAGAGTGAACTTCAACATTTTCAGAAGGGTGGCACAATGTACGAAATGAACCTAAGATTCCCTTCCATTTTCTGATTAATAGTTATAGATTCACAGCTGGATGCTACACATTCCAATAACGATTTATTGCTTCCCTCCCCAGAAGGAAGCGATGCTTTTCTAAAGCTATTTAGTGGTGCCTGCATACATTGATGTACATGTGACAGATATTGCAATCTTGCGCATTATCTTTGGGGACTGGATTGTATTTCCTTTATGAATGGTTTATGTATCACTGCGGGCCAGGGACTGTATGCAGCTCCAGTTTGGAGGGTTACCACAGCTCCTTTAGGAGCCAAAAACAGTAGGGGATGATTATAGTAAATCACTTAGGTTGTAAGCCTCCCTAGAGAAATATCAGTTCTGAGAAGGCGTGCATATACTGGCTCAGATTGGGTCTTCCAGAGACCCACAGAAACAGAAAGGGCTTTTGATATAGAAAAACTGGCATTAAATTGACCCAGCCACTGAAAAGCACCTTCTGTCGAAAGGGAATCTCAACTCTGTGGAAGGACTGGAAAGACTTTGGCCTAATAGTGCCCCATAAGACTCATGCTCAACTCTTGATATGTCGAGTGAGTCTTTAAATCTGTTTATTGTTTTTCTTATATTTTCTCTGTAATGATTTTACCTTAAGAATAAATGTGCTTATCTAGTTTCAGAGGGGTAGCCGAATTAGTCTGTAACAGGAAAAGCTTAAAAAACAATGAAAAGTCTAGTGGCACCTTAAACACTAGCAAAACATGTAGATCAGTGGTCCCCAACCATTTGGGGTTGCCGGGCGCCAGGGGGCGTGGCCGTTCGCCCGCCGGGTGCCCAGGGGGGCGGGGCCCCCCCATAGCCACATTCCGGGGCCGGCGCTCTCC